GCCGCCCGCCCCTCGCCTGCCCGGCCCCGCCCGGCGCCCCGGCCGCCTCTCGGCTCCGCCGGCTCCGAGCGGTCACGGCCACGGCAGCGGCAGCAGCGGGTGAGTGGCGCCGAGCRGGAGCGGGTCGGGGGCAGCCGACCGTCCTTCCTTCCCTCCCTCCTTTCTCCGCCCCGGGGAGCCGTCCTTCCTTCCCGCCGCGCCGGGGGCAGAGGCGCTGCCCGGGCAGCGGGTGCGGCTGGCGCTTGGCCGGGCGGGGCCGCTTCCCGGGACTCCGTGCGCCGGCGCCGGCGGGAGTCGGATCCCGCCGGGCTGTGGGAAGGGAACCGCGCTCTGGTTGCCAGCGCGGTCCCGCCGAGGAGAGGAGCCATCAGTGCCTGCACGGGGACAGGTCAGCGCCGTGGGTGACAGATGTGTGTGTGTGTGTGTGTGTGTGTGTGTGTGTGTGTGTGTGTGTGTGTGTTTCTCGCAGCGGCTCCGCGCGTTTCCACCAAATAAGGAGAAGTTTAGTTTCCTTACCACATACTGCCTTGCAGCGGTGTATTGGCATCAGAAATATTAGAGTCTAATAGTTGGCGTCCACTTTTGAGAGCTGGTGTGTTGAGTAGATGACAATATAAAGGAAGTATTTAAGTCTTGAAATACCGAGCATCCCTGTTCCTTGCTCGGCTGCGCTTCTCTGGTCTCAAGTCTTGCCCAATAATGTAGAATTTGACTTTTTTTTCATTCTGAATACTGCTGTTTACACTGATGGTGTACATGTATGAAGATAGTTATAAATTAACATGAATTGAAAAAGCTGAAAGTAAAAAGGAGCCTTTAAAGTGAGAACATCTTTAAAGAGAAGCTAATGATGCCGTTGTGATGACGAATATTAAAGCTGGCAGTCTGACCAATAATGAGAGTGTAAACTTTCTAATAGATGGGTCATATTTTCCTTGMTGACTCCGTCTGTTTAGTGCCGAGTCAAACAAAATCCTGAAGTTCGTGGAATTCACCTAAGGCAAGTGCAGCTGTGCAGCCTTGCTGCCCTGYCCTTTGTAGCAGTGGAGCGATGGCAGTGCGTCCAGTTGCACTGTCACCTGTAGGTCTGCTGAAATCCACCGCAGAATTGCTGTTATCATGCATTAGGGATGAATCTATGGTTTGGTTGGGGCTTTGCCTGAAACCCGTGCTGATTATTARGCTTGTTCAGTTTTGCGTGCTARAAAGACAGATTTTCTGCATGTGAATTTTAGATCTAAAAATCAGACTCTGTTTCAAAAGATTTTTTGCCCCTTGGATAAATCGTAAGGGGTCATGAGGTGGAACTATGTCACTCTTACCTATTTTAATTCAATAGAAAATGAAAGAAGGGGAAGCTTTTCTCTTAGGAAGAATTTTAGATATATTCAGATGCCAATTTTTTACCTCTACTTACATACTAGTGCAGAAACCCTGGTTTCTTGAACAGCAGAATGGGTCACAGTGCTTGCTGAGCCCCTTTTAACCAGCACTGAGCTCCAGAAGCTCTCAATGGCTTTTGTTCCAGGCTGCATTGTTGGCACCTGTGGAAACTGCATTTGATGATTTGCTTTGCCTGTGATGCCGTTTCTTGGCTTACCTCAATGCCAGTTTTTGCTTAAGGGAAGTTCAGCATTTCAAAGGTTTCATTGTTTCATATACTTTGCAGAGYATAGGTCATAAAACACTTCCCAGGTGCCTGCAGTTGTTCACCTTGGAGTCTTTGTAGCCAGATGGTGTTTTGTGCGACTGGTGTTGCCTTATGCTGAGCTGCATATGGCTAAACTGTTGCAAGGCATTGGTGCACATTCATGAAAATTGCTGTGTTTCACGGCAAAGAGGTGTCCAGGATATGTTTGGCATTGTAGCAGATTCTCCAGATCACTGTGAATGGCAAAAATGTTGGGTCGCTTGCATGGTTGGGATCAGTTCTGCCCTCAGCAGCAAGAATGCAGGAGCTGCTGCTCTTTTTGACACCATGTGTGTCTGTAACCAGCTGAATGTCTGCAATATCTTCCCAGCATATGTGGAAAGCTGTGGTGTAGTTRCAAAAACCAAATCTACCACATATCCCAGAGAGAAATTTAAAGGCAGATGTTCCATTTTAATTGAGGCCATGGATGGAAAGTTGGAAAGCCCCCGAAGACCTGTGATGTTAACRAGTTGCTCTGATTCTGTGGCAGCTTAAGATCATGCTTTTAATCAAACAACCCACRTTTTCCTTGACCTTCCCACATCTTTCTATTTTGAGATTGGCTCCTTATATTTGTGTACAGAATGTAACAAGATTGTAATTTCTGTTCCCTTCCCCTCAAATGTGGAGGTGCAGAGGCTCTTTATCAGTTCAAGACTAAAATCCTARATTATCCTGTAGTCATGCGTCTCCAGGCTCCTGGGATTTATGAAGTGTTGTGACATTCCTAAAGAACTGAGAACATGCCAGAACAGTGCAAWGCATTTACAGCATTCCTAATAACTTTGTGAAAATGTGTTTTACTTTTAGACCACAATGAATGTGGAACATGAAATTAGCCTCTTAGTTGAGGAGATTCGGCGGCTGGGAACCAAAAGTAAGTATTGTAATATCGCTGTACAAATGTGGTCATTTTACAGATGCATTTGTGTAAATACATGTCATCATGCATGCATGTCATACAGATGCAGTCATGTTATATCAAGCTATGAATGTGGCAAATTTAAATAAGCAGGCCCAGGTAACCTGAAAACCTTGCATATGCACTTAATGTTGGACTGTATGGCACTGTCTGTGTCCCATCCTTTAAAGTAGTTTTGATATAGACATTAGAGCCTCTGCAGCAGAGAKGATGTAGGCCTGAAATCCTGTTCCCTGAATCCCGCATCAACTGCAAGTCCCCTTTTCTTCAGATTTTCAATACTCATTMCACTCACGACGGAAGAAAATTTCAYGTTCTCCTTCCACCTCCTTCCTYGGTAACTTCKGTACTTCAAAATTCATGCATTTACATTCTATTCATGATCATATTATTTGGAAGAAGTTGGTCTGTATGCCTAAAACTAATCCAGGAGTTATACATGTAGTTCCAATCTTCCTYAAACTTGATTAAGGGTTCCCTTTTCTCTTGTTTTGCACTGCTAAAACTCCCCTATCTTTACAAATATTGTAGAGGTGCTACATGTTCCTATATGTTAGTTCTGATGCCATTTGTTTATTTCCACTTGCTTTTCAAAACCTAAATGGAAATGTACATTTTGCATTCTGTATGACTGCATCCGCTTTTTAGGAATAACCTAACTTTAACATATATTTTAAAATTTTGCTTTGTGTGAGAATTTGTATTGCAGCCTTTTCAATGTGAACCTCCAATACTAATGAATGAAAAAAAAAAAGAAAAAGAAAGATTTAATGCATGGGTTAGATTTAGATAGGAGGAGCAGGGAGTTGGACTTGATCCTTATGGGTCTCCTCCAATTTGAGATATTCTAGGACTTTATTTAAAACTAATTTACTCCAAACACTGTGAAGAGTTTCAATAGCCTGTGCTTGTCATAGGTTTCAGAAAGTCATCAATAAAAATAAACAGAGGAGATACGAGTCTCTGGAAGGAAAGGCAAAGTTATACCAGGCAGGAGTTCTGCCTGCTGCTTATCACCAGTAGATCATATTCAAAATACGATCCCAGATAAACTGGGAATCACAGTGGAGTTTACTTTCAGTGTTCTATGTGTCACCTTATTTCCCCAGCAATCTCCTAACCTGAAGGAAATCCACATTATGTCTTTTATTTAGATTCTGATGGACAAGTGAGCGTGAAATTTGGTGTGCTGTTTGCTGATGAGAAGTGTGCYAACCTCTTTGAAGCCTTGGTGGGAACTCTTAAGGCAGCAAAACGAAGGAAGATTGTCACTTACCAAGGAGAGCTACTGTTACAAGGCGTTCACGACAATGTGGATATCATGCTGCTGCAGGACTGATGCGGTGTTTCAGCTATGCATTAATGGAATTGCTTGAACCAGTGATTTGCCACATCCTCTTAATAAGGCTGATCATTCAAAGGTGTTTTGTATATCTTTATAGTCAAGAAAATTGGCCTATYTTGGAAAACATTCCCTTTTGTAAGTCTTCCTAAAATGGTACTGTATATSAGTGATGTAAAAGATGCCAGATCTTTTCCTTTCTCTTTTTTTTTTCTCKYTTTTTWWWAAAAAAAGCTCAGGTAATTCTCTCAAATGTCTGGTGGTTATTTCCAACATATGCAGAAGGGGACCGGTAATTTAATGTTTACAAATGAAAATGTGCCATCAAAGTATGAAATAAAAGCACATACTTAAATTTGTGTCATTCTTGCTGCTTTGGTTTCTCTTTTTATTTGCAGTCTGAAATGAAAGCAAACTGAATTCCTGCRAGGAGTGTATTTAGGCAACTGTTCATAAAGCATGACAGTGAGAAATAATTTTGCAGTGTGATTCAATAGAAGAATGACTGCTCTTTAGATTGACCAGATTGYGCACAAAGAGACATGAATGTTAAATGTACCTCATTCATTTGTGGCAGTATCATATGCTTTCATTTTCTTGTCCTCTAGACTTTTGAAGGAAGTGGGTGAGGAGCTCCCTGAATGCTTTCATGCACTGTTAACAGGAAGTTAGTACAGCAGCTTCAGGTTGTGATTATTTTCTTCACAGAAGTCCTACTTTCTCTAAATCTCTCCAGGCAGAATGTGGGAGGGGAGGGGAAGAAAAAAGGCCCTTTTGATTGTTTTGTAGCTTACTGCCAATTCTTTTTATCAGGTAGAAGTGCACCCTGCAGTAGGGAGAAAGAGTTGCTGCATGAGGARAGCAGCCGTGGGTGAGCAAACTGCTTACTGCTCTGTGCTTACACTCGGCAGCTGCAGCTCTTAAAATTGCAGGATGGGTGAATTTCCTTTAGCAGCCTTTTGCAAATGAAAAATGATTGTAAAGCGTCTCCTGATTTCCAGATCCAGCAAATGCGTCCACGATTATGGAATCTCTACAAAGCTGTGTAGTTCCAGCTGCTACCCCTTTCATCTTGYTTTGCTCTGCTTTGTGCAACAGGAAAACAACTTAGATCCTGTGTRCAAACAGATCTGGGCTGCCTCTGCCTGTGCTGGCCCCGGAATCTGGAGAGCAGGGAAGTGATACACAGGGAAACTTGAGCTGTCTGGACCCAAGCCAGCTGGAGTGGAGGAGCAGAGCAGGAGCTCAGCACAGCCTATTGGCTCCAGGGCTGTGTCACTGGTGCAGCACTTCTGCTTCCAGAACTGAGCTGGCAAGTGCCTGCACCCCTGTGCTCCACAGGCAGAAAGGAGGGGACAGGGAGCCAGGCCTCCTGCAGGGGTGGAGTCCAGACAGATCTATGTTACCAGAGAACCACAGCTGCTTTTTGTTCTGCTTCTGTTTTGCTGCAAGSCCGAGTCTGGGTTGTCTGGATTCACAGAGCAGCCTGAGCATGCTGACAGATACCAAGTGCTTTGTGGTTGTCTGAGATGCCAGTTTTGGTACAGAGAGCACCAACCTCCCATAACCACAAAGCAGTTCCTTGTGCATGCTCATGACAGCTCTTTAAGCACTGAGGGGCTCAGCCTTGAAAATTTAGTAAAAACAGAGCAACCCAACCAGTAATTGTAAGGCTCAATGCTGAGCTGGAGCCAAGACAGGACTATGAAGAGACCTTTGTCTCTTATTTTAGATTTATCTTAACAATACTAATAAAATGCTCAGGGCATTTGGGAATACCATTTAGAAAGAGACAGAGAAACCTGGAATTAAATCAGAGGAGAATGTGATTTGTGTACTGCCTGAGGCAGTTGRGTTTCATTTTCTCTCTACTTCTGAAGGCAGGAGAGGAACAACAGGAACAAGGATGTATATCCAAGAATTTGCCCCCAGTGCAAAGTTTAATCCAGTATCTATTGGCCTCAGAATTGTGTGGAATTTTCACTACAGGTAATATACAAGCACTGTTGACTTTCTAACTTTTTTTCAGAGAAAACCAAATACTAACATTTCTTCCCATGCATGAGACCACACATCTGTTGAGGAAATAATTACCACAACAAATGGCCTGGGCATGAGATGTAGTTCCTGGAGCACTTGACACAACAGAAAGCTGGGGGGAGGCATTACCAGTTTCTATAATCAGTAGTACAATCAGCACTTCCCTGTGGTGTGTTCATGATCTTGCCAGCTATGGGTCTGAAGGAAGTTTGCAGGTCAGCCAGGAGCACCAGTGATTGCAAAATAGAAAGTAATTCTAACTGTGGGGAAGCAGAAGAATCAGATTTTTGACAACAGTGTAAGAGCTATCAGTAGGGCTGTTACGTGCCTGTGATAATGCTCGGAGATTAGGGAATGTGCAGCTTGGCTAATTCAGTCTCATCTTCATAAGATCTGAGAGCATGGTGGAACCCTGAAGAGAGGTTAGATGATCTCCAGGCAGATCTAACTGGTGTGTCTTTACCAGTGTGTCTTTAGCTGGGACTGTTAGAGTAGCTGATGGAGTGTGGCCACTCGCACTCASTCATCTCAGCTGTTTCCATTCAAAGTCCAGTGACTGGAGATAAATGTGCTTTTCAAAGGAGATTTAACTAAGCTGTGAAGGTGCTGAGGTAYAGGTCTGTATAACCTCTTGTGAAGGTGGTGACATCTTAAACTTTGGAGCTATTTCTCTTGTGAGCATAGGTTTTTTGTGTTTTTTTTCTGAGAGCATGAGCAAAGAAAGAGTTGAAATATACGTGATACTATCTTTTATGTGCCTCTCATGTTGGAATGAATTTAGAGAAATGTATGCTGTGTTTTGCTTGTTTCTCATGTCCCCTATAAAGCTTTGCTGGGGGTGTTCTTTCTGCTTCAAGAGATTTCTCTGGGTGACAGCAATGTCACTTTTGCCATTCATATCTGTGTAAAGCTTTGCCATCAAAAAACACTTGAAGCAAAGRACAAGAGGAAGAGGAGCAGGAAGTTCTTACATACTGAAAACTTATAATATAGATACTGGTACKTAGTGGTTTTATTTTGCATTAGTTGCACATTTTAGAAATAGGGTGAGATTCTCTACTCCGGCAGCACAAAATATTAAGTATGTTTAAATAGTTGCAGAGCATTTGCTAAGATGACACTACATGAGCCAATGATTGTCACAGGACTGGCCTTATGGCTCCCTATCAAAACACTAACCCCTAATGATGTCTTTGTATCATCTCCACCCAGTATAAAAAACAGTTCTAAAGGTTTGTCCCACAGTCTGCAGCAGTTTATGTTCAGCATTACATGGAAATCCTTTATCTGATAACTGTGTGATGGGAATCATGCTTTCAAGGAGTTAAAAAAAGCCCAACATGTTTCTTTTGGAAACTGGCAAAGTCAGTAATTTTGCAAAATTAATGTGATCTGCCTTTTCTCTCAGCAGCAAAAGCCATACCAGTTTAGATATTGTAACAATTTGATTTTCAAGGCAAGATATCTTCAGCATTTTGACCTGAAATGGCATTCTCGAAGAAAATCRAGAGCAGATTGAAGAGCTGCTCCAGTGCAATGATTTCCAGGAATCTGTATGGTCAATATTTCCAGGTACTTCTGGTTTAAAAATAAGTTGAATGGGTTATTTGAGGATAAGTGCTTGACAGTGTTTCTAGAAAGCAATGTTTTTAACATCTAGTTACATAAACTGCTTAACGTGAAATTATTCCAATAAAGTTTTCCTGAGGGTGGCAGTTCAGTTTAGTTCTGCCACTCTGAGTACAGTTTTAGCCACAAATGCACTGCAGTGCATATTTCAGCAGCCAAAGCCAATCTGCTGGCACATATTTTGAATAACGCATCGGGAGCAGCATTAKCTTGTGTGTAGCCTAGATGTCATTGCAGATTATTCTTATCTCTGCCAGAGCACCTGAGTGACTCAAATACCAGCCTGCTAACCTAGAGAGGGAGTAGTTCGACCTACAAATGCTCTCCTGAGCCTTGTCAGATCAGATCCAGATCAAAACTCCTTTCAGAGAAACGCTTAGAGTCAGACCTGAGCCTTTTCCAGTACAGCATTTTCACACATATAGCATTGTGTCCATGACCTTGCTCCTTTTTGGAGCTTTTTCCTGTAAAACCACTGCACGCTGAGTGACACTAAGGGTTTTGCTGCCATACTTTAAGCTGTTCTCCAGAGAGGACAGTAGTAATGTAATTGTAAATTACATTGTCAATTGTGTATGCATACTATGCATACTTATTGGTACAACAGGTACTCAAAACCTGACWATTTTTTCTCAGTGGGTAAACACTCAGTAAAATGGCAATTATGTTTGAATGGGAATATAGTGATCTGCATTTTCCAGTCKTTGCTAAGTCTGCTAAATGCCATAGAAGATCATGTTAATAAAATTGATAGTCTGTATCTTGCAGAATTAGGTCTTTTGTGAAGTTTTGGTAATAAAAGACATATTATTGCSAAGTCTTTATTAGTCAAGAAGCCTTGGCCTGTCTGCAGCTAATGTTCTAAAAACCTTCCTTCATAAGCTTTTATTTTGGAGCACAGTATGATTTTCTTAGAACTCTGCTTTAAGTTTTCTTAGGGAAAAAGACAGAAAGTGAACAGTTGAAGACACACCACCATTCAGTAGGACTTAGCACTGMGTATCAGCTCACATAGAAGTCAAGATACAAACATGGAAATAACTGCTTTGTAGGTAACTTCAGTGGCATTGGAATATTTAAATTCAAGTATGTGACATCTGCAAGCTCCAAGTCTACAGGCACTGGCACCTGAGGTTTGACTGGAAAATTTTGATGGAAACCTAAAATCATGCAAACAACCCAGAGGTTGCCAGCTTGTCTCCACTGAACACCAAAGTGCCTGTCTCAGACATATGACCACAGGGAATCACTACACACATGCCTAAAGTCCCCCAGGATGTGTGCTGGGAAGCAGCAAAACTGGGTAGTCCTAAGCTTTATACAAAAATAAATTGTAATTTTCTCCTTAAGTATCTGCTAAAATGTCTTTCCTTATGCTGATGCATAGGTCAGACTTGAAGGGGGTGGGAGCATCAGCAGTGGATGGGCGCAGGTTGCTGCCAGGCCCCTGCATGGCACRCGGTGTGCCAAAAAACATGTCAGGCAAAGAGAAATTGCTGTCTGGACAACTGTGCCTCAGGCTCCTTGGGAAGCTGCTCTATGCTTCT